AGCCACAGAAGCCTAAAGACCTGAGTTGGATCCATGGAACCTACAAGGAGAGAGAGAGAACAGACTCCACAAAATGGTCCTTTGACCTCCATATGTACAACATGGTGTGAGTGATCCCCATCATACATACAAAACAAAATAAACAAAATAATTAAAAAAAAACAGATTAGGAAAAAAAATTGTAAAACCAACTTTGAGAGATGACAAACAACCCAATGAAACACTGAGCAAATGATGTGCATCTCTTGGAGAAGATGTGCCCCTAGCTGGGGAGCATGGGAGCAGGACTCAGCTCACCACCATCAGGGACGTGCCCACGAAACCACTGAAGCCCGCATTAGGACAACAGCAATCACTAAGGCAGACAAGAACACGTGATGACCGGGATCCAGAGAAGCAGCAGCCTCCTGTACGGCAGGCCGAGAGTGTAATGTGGTCCAGCCTCTTTGGAAAACTGTTGGAGGTTTCCCAAAAAGTTAAGTATATGTATGAAATAAATATGTAAATTTAAGATGAGCACAGCAATTCTCCTAGGTGCCAACTAAGAGAAGTGAAAATACATCCACATAAAGACTTTCAAGCTAACGCTGATCAAGGCATTGTTCATAGTGACCCTATGGAAAAGTCCTCATTTCTTATCAGTTGACACATAATTTAAAGCAGCCAGGCACAGGAGACTATGAGCCAACATATCACATTCCCACTTACACATCCAGAAAAGGCAGATTTAGAGAGAGTGTAAACAGATGAATGGCTGACCTGGGCTGGGCTGGGCTAGGCACTCTGAGTCGTACACTTACACAGTGTGAAATTTGAAATTTACAATATTTAAAATGGATGAGAGGCCGGCCAGTGGTGGCACACACCAGTACTCGGGAGGCAGAGCCAGGTGGATCTCTGTGGGTTTGAGGCCAGCCTGGTGGACAGAGAGAGCTCTAGGACAGGCACCAAAACTAGACGGAGAAACCCTGTCTTGGAAAAATAAACAAACAGACAGACAGACAGACAAACGAATGAACGAATAAATAGATAGATAGATGATAGATAGATAGATAGATAGATAGATAGATAGATAGATAGATAGATAGATAAAATGGATGAGGGGCTGGACATGGTGGTGCACAACTTTAACCCCAAGCAGAGACAGGTGGATCATTGTGAATTTGAAGCCAGCCTGTTCTACATAGCGAATTCCTGGCCAGCCAGAGCTACATAGTGAAACCCTGTCTCAAAATAAATAAATACATACATACTACAATGTGCCTTTTTATCTTTTTTTAAGTGTGTGTGTGTGTGTGTGTGTGTGTGTGTGTGTGTGTGTGTGTGATGCTGGAGCTCAAATTTCAGGGCCTGTGTGCTAGGCAAGCCATAAGTGATACAGCCTTAGCCACAAATCCATTTTTTCCCCAAAAGTATTCAGCTTAAGGTTGTTCTTCATGGTAGAATAGTATTTTATTTGTAAGTGGAAAGGTCCACTTATAGCTGCTATTTGAGGATATTTACCTATTAATGGAGCTTTAAGAGGAATTCAACTTAGAGGGTTTTTTGGTTTTTTGGTTTGTTTTGTTTTTGTATCTCAATACTGATGGTTAATTTTTTTAAAAGTTAAAAAAAATAACAACTGATCAAAATTACTGTGGAAAATTTACAAATAAATGCTTGATACTACTACGTCCCCAGTTGGCTTCAAGAAAGCCTTGGTTTATTTCAGTTGTGAGCAGCTCTCCGCCTAGATCAATTGTGAGCATCTCTTGACTTAGCTCAGTTGTGAGGATTTCTGAATCCCAGCCTCTTTGTCTTTCTTCACTGCTGTGCTGAGCACTGTCTTGTCTGAGTGGAGGTGAGTGGGCAGCTAAGTGCTTAACCAGTCACTAACGACATGGACAGGTGAGACAAGTCTTTGAGGGCAACAGGTAAAGTCCAAGGAGTTTAGCTGAGGGTTGGTAATAAAAGTCTATAGGAGCTTCCATGTCGGGGGAAACTGGTAGCTTAAAAAAGAGCAGAACCATTGATGGCTCTTTTCCTACGTTCCCAGTGATTTTAGATAAGGTTGGTGTGGAATTCTCTGCATGGACACTGACCAGGGAGCTGGCAGCCTTGGGGTGAGAGTCCAAGGTTCTGTTTGGAGTTTACTTTACACCTGAGCCACACCTCCAGTCCTTCCCCGTTTGTGATAGGCTGGGAGAGCTGCCACCTCTCTACAGCTGATGGCTCATGAAATGTCATAACAGCAGATCTGCCCCGAGGGACTGGTGTGCGCACAGCTCTCTTCACTTCCCAGTGGACTTTTTTTTTTTTTTTTTTTTAGAATACCAGAACAAAGTCCAGCTGCGTGGAACCTCATAAAGCTGGTGAGTTAATGAGAAATGTGGTTGGAAGGCCAGAGCCAAGAGCATAGACAAGCCACTCCCGGGTTTCATTGCTTTGAGATTTACATTCATGTGAAAATAAAAGAAACAAGAGTTTGACAAAGGATTGGACGCATAAAATGTGACTCTCCTACACCGTGAACGCAGGCAAGAGACACGGGAGGGTGGAGCTAGGTATCCACCCCTTCTCCCGAAAGGTTGGCCTAGGGGAGATACGAGAAATGACTGGAAACCTTGTTTGTACTCAAGAGAGGAGGGGTGGGAGGCAAGCGAGAAAGGGGAGGCCGACCAGGCCAGGGCAGGACCCAGGGTATGGGCCTCAAGGCCAGCAGGAGGTCTGGGGCTTCTCCTGGGGTCAGAACCTGGAGCCTGAGAGCAGAGCAGTGACCTGAGCCCAACCCCAGGACAATAGGACTCAATGAGGTGTGAGGAAAACAGTTCACAGAGCAGGGTGGTGACCTTTGGAAGGCACTGAGCCAACTAATTAGTGGTATGGTCAATGTTTTATCCCCGTCATATATGTGGGTTCTGAGAGTCAAGGTCACAGCTGCTTGTTTAGTGGCCCATGGGGAGCCAGGCTAAGCTCCTAGCCAACAGGGGAACTAGAGGAAAGCAGCCAAAGTTGGGGTGATAAGCCATCCCCCTACACCTCAGCTTCCCTGGCCTCTGACTCTGTTCCTTGCCTGGGGTGGTAGGGGAGGTGGCTATGGTACATCCTTCCTGTGGCACTGAGGTATCCAAAGACAGCCTGAAAAGTTTTAGTGAGGTGCCTGAAGTCTCCGGGTCTCATTCAGGTCCTAGACTGGGCAGGTGTTGATTGACACGTCTCAGGCCACAACTGGCCTAGACAATAAAGATATAAACTGGCAAGACATATTTCCCCAGAAGCAGACACAAACACAAACACACAGAGAGACGAAGATACACCGACACTCAGAAACACACTCAGACACAGACACGAATACACACAAACACACTCAGAAACAGACACATACACACATACATACATACATACACACATACACATAAATACAGACACACCTCCTATACACACAAACACACCCACAGGCACACCCCCACACACACACACACACAGAGTATATTCATGACCTACCCAATTGTAAAAACACTACATTCCAGATATGGGTGTTTATAGAAGTCTTTCTATAGAAATGGACAGAGGTGTGGCTTGGGCTGGATTGTTCCAGGAGACACAGTAGGCCATTCTGGGTCCCTGACTGTGGCACCTTCCAGCCCCCATTGACAGCTTCTGTGACTGACAAAGGGACCACGACAATTTGCCCCAGGAGAAAGAGAAGCTATGGCATTGTGAAGAAAGTTCAGAGATGAGGCCCTGGCTCTCACCCATGTGTCCAGACAGAAAACAGTGCTGTGAGGCTAGATCAGAACTGCTGGCCATGTTAAATTCCCTCCCAAATCTGTTCACTGCCATGGTTCCCATCGATCTTCCTATGGGTGCTTGGAGTGCTGCTTCCATCTGAAGGAACCTCCTTCTGTATGACTTGTTTTTCCTTTTGCAGACTGACGGAGGGCAGGGGTGCAGCCAATGCACAAGATACAAGTTTGTGCATGGATAAAGACCGTGGGGATTTTACAGCACCCGGGACATTTCACATCCCATAACGTAGGAACTGGGGCTCTACACCACGTGCTTCCCCTTAACTTTCCTCTCTCCTCTTTTGGAGAGGGATGGAGGAGATCCTTTGCAACTGGCATGCTCTCATTGAGAGGTGGGTCACCGCCAGGAAGCTTTCATGGACCTATAATCCCAGACACGCTTGGTCCTCCTGAGCACAGCTTCCTAAGCATGGAGTCCTGTAGCTGGCAGTGGTGCTTACCAAAACCTTGGCAACATGAGGAGGTTTCTGAATGTGCAGTGTGTCTGAGGTGTCTCTGGCAGCACTCACCCGTGAAGCCATGCGCTTCCTCTGCAGCCATGGTTCTGAACACACACATGCACACTTTGTCCAGCATGTGCCAGCTGGCCTTGCAACGCCATGAACACCGACTAAAACACCTTGGCTGAGTGTCAAGACTCCGGAGCAACAGGAGTCAATGGGTTTTTCTTGTTTTGTTTTTGGTTTTGTTTGTTTTTACATGCAAATCTTCTGCTCTTACAGAAACAGTGGTTTCATTAGGGAAACAAATAACTTCAATATTTTCCTACGACTATCTCTCAGCACATACATATCCACACCTACAAAATAGGCCGGCAACAGTGACCAGTTAGCCCCTGCTCCCAAATGCCACCTCTGCTCTTCAGCCTTGGCCACTCTTGTTACTGGCATCTTTGAATAAAATAGATCAACTGGGGGGCCGGGCGGTGGTGGCACACGCCTTTAATCCCAGCACTCGGGAGACAGAGGCAGGTGGATCTTTGTGAGTTCGAGGCCAGCCTAGTCTACAAAGCAAGATCCAAGAAAGGTGCAAAGCTACACAGAGAAACCCTGTCTAGAAAAACCAAAAAAAAAAAAAAAGCTGCAACAGGCTGGTTGGTAGTGGCGCACACCTTTAATCCCAGCACTCAGGAGGCAGAGGCAGGTGAATCTCTATGAGTTTGAGGCCAGCCTGGTCTACAGAGCGAGTCTCAGAACAGGCTCCCAAACTGCACAGAGAAACCTTGTCTCTCAAAAGACAAAAACAAACAAACAAACAACCCCCAAACAAACAAACAAACAAACAAACAAAAAACTGTAACAGTTTCTCAGGCTAAGGGCCCATGGAGGGGAAACTTTAATAAACCCTTTGACAGAGGGCGAGGGCCGGGTTCACACTTTCCTGCCGTTGTCTTAGCATTGGTCCTGTCTAACCCAGGATGCACTGTTCTTAAAATCGGTAATAATTAAAACGGTTCACTAACTATTCCAGAACCATGGCAGCATTCTTCCTTCACCTATCCAGGGACAGGAAATGCCCAGAACAACCTAGGGAAGGAAAGGCCAAAATGAGGCTAAGGAGGGAGCCAAAGTATCAAGCTCTTCAAAACCCATCTACAAGTCCCAGGGTCCCTTCTGGGCCCAGCTGACCAGAACTCCAAGTGGGCTGGGGTGACGGAGAACTGGGGTGTTACCAGAGCCAGCCTCTTTGGGGACTGAATGCGGAGGTTCAAGCTTCCTGAGACACCTGACCTTGCTGTTCCTTTGGGTCGTGGTCGTCAGGGAGGAGACATCACCTCAACCTGATGCAACCATCGGGTCCACCTCTGGCATTTCAGAGAGGAGAGAGCTCACCAGGAAGGTGTTGTCAAGTGCGGACGCCAGTGGTGCCCTGTGAAGATCCCGGCAGAATTCACCTGGCTGCCAGGGACAAAAGAGACGTAAGAGGCCCCAAGAGCTGGTCCTAAACCACCTAAGCACGGGATTTCAGTACTGCATGGGACCCGGGGGCTCAACCCCACCTACACTGTCTCTTGGTCTCTGTCTCTGGGCCTCCCCGTTAGACAGAGCATGAGGGCAGGTGATGAGTATGAACCAGGTGAGGCGCAGGAAGTACCCAGAACACCATCTGAGCACCTGCTCCCCGACTAGAAAGAAGCACAGAGTTCAGGGAAGCTGGACCTCACTACCCCAGGGGGATTACTTCCCTGTTATACACTAGGCCAGGAGCCCTTCGCTTGAATGGCCAGAATTCCCACAAAAAGGGCCATGCTAAGCCTCAAAACAGCCTCCACTGTGCTGCCAGTGTACTTGATGGGTAGAGACCCCAGAACTTTCTCAAAATCCTGGTCACTGCCTCTAGGCCTCAACCTCCTCCACCCTACCTCCCTGGGAAAGTCAAGAGAGATGGACCAGAGAATTATCTAGAAGGAAAAACACAGCAGAGGCTCAGTGATCTCATGCCTTGGCTGAGCCAAGCTGGGCTAGGGACCAAGCGCAAGGGCCAGCCTCCAGAGAGGCGGGAGCCAACCTGACCCCGGCCCTCCGGCCCTTTAGTCAGGACACACACAGCCCTGCTGTCTCCTTTTTTCTTAGAAGTCTTCTCTGCCCGTACTTCCTAGGTCTCTGCCCAGGGTCGGGCAGCCTCCTTAACCCCTCATCTCCCATTCTTTTTTTTTTTTTTTTTCCTTTTTGTTGGTTTTTCGAGACAGGGTTTCTCTGTGTAGCTTTGCACCTGTCCTGGAACTCAGTTGGTAGCCCAGGCAAGCCTTGAACTCACAGAGATCCGCCTGGCTCTGCCTCCCGAGTGCTGGGATTAAAGGCGTGTGCCACCAACGCCCGGCTCATCTCCCATTCTTCACCAGGTGAAATGTAGGACCCCAGTTCAAGGGGAAGAGACAGCACACTTGAGTGCTCATGGGATCTGTATGCACCCCACCCTTTATTCTGGGAGCCTCAGTTTCCTCCGCTGTCACATGGAATTGACGACAGTTTGGAAAGCCTTAATCCTACCTCCACTGTGACTTTTCAGGCAGCTGAGGCACGGAGCAGGGCTCGAACTGTCTGTTGAGAAAGCTGAATGCTAGGCACACGGCAAAGGCACATTGAGCCTCATAGGGCTGTGTATCCCATAGGACTATGAGGTCACAGAAGTGAAGTTGTGTGGATCTGTGAGGAGGATGACATAAGCAGGAAGAATTTCGGTGGCAAGCTGTTGTGGAAGGTCACAGATTCTGGGCCACACTCTCTAGATTTTAGTTATAGCCTCACTAGGAACGGTGGGGCCTTGGGAAAGACCCTCAACTTTTCAACCTCTGCTAGCAGATTCATGGAGCACCCACCCACAGGGCTACTGTGTAGGCTAGGGAAACACGTGAGCCTGGCGCGGTCCCTGGCATAGGTCAGTGCTCACCAGATGGGAGTCATCTCTATTGTCTAGTACAGTTGTCTCTGAGACACTCACTTACACACACACACAACACATGCGGTCCAGATAACTGGATATTCCCACAACAGAGCTGTCACCTTGACTCATGGGACAACGTTTACAGGAAGACACTGGCATTTCCCTGCTGTTGCTGTGACTCTCTGGATCCTTCCGGATGATCCGTGCCTTCTTATATCCAAACATTTCTGCCCTGGGTAGTCACGGCTGCTTTGTGATTTCTACAAGGAAAATCGAGGCTGGCGTGTCTCCCAGTCCACAAGGTGAAGAACCTAGGTGGGAAAACAGGAGCCTCTACCTCACCTTTAGCTTGTCCATAACCTCCATTTGGCTGGGCCTTTCCTCTCCCTGAGCATCCACACTCCCCTTAGAAATATAAGGAAATGAGTTATAATAAGAACCTGCCACTGTCTCTTTGATGGTTAAGACTGTGGCCCTATTTTTATATCAGCAGCATCATCACCCTCGTGAGAGAGCCTATTGAACACCTGCTACCAGAGATAGGCATCTGTGTCGCTGAATGCCACCTCCCCTGCACCCCGCCAGCCATCACCGGACTGTCCCATTGACCCTTGGCGGCCACCTGACAGGATGACTTCATTCTCCTGATCAGTAGCTGATGTGACCCAGGACACAGTCCCTGACACTAAGTAGGGTCTAAGTTACTAAGCCTTGTGAGGTAAGAATTACTATCTCCATTTTTATGGATAAAGAAATCTGTAGCCAGGAGAGGGGAAGTGAGTCAGCCCACGTCAGGCACCCTGCTTGAGATGATGTCCTCCAAGGATGCTCTACATCCATTCCCAACTTCCGTTATCCCCACACACCAGGTGAGGCATCAGGGAAGCATGCTTTAGCTCCATGACTCTGATTCATGGCTCAGCACCAGAGATGCCAAGGCCTCTTGTACACGCAAAGCAATCCTAGAGGCTCCCCCTTCGTGGGGACTCAGGAGGGGTGGATGTTACCCTCCCTGCTGCCCGGGATGACTTTGCCAAACCCCTAGGATGACTCTCATTTTGCGGCTGAAGAAATTGAGGTCATATGGTTTATCCACACTTTTTAAAATTCCTGCACCATGTGGAATTAGAGAATGTTTTTCCACTTTTGGCTAAGGAATTTGGACGCAGGCTGCAGGCCCCGCCTGGCCCGGCAGAGGAGAAGGCCATGAGGAGGGTGTAGTGGGGCCCCCAGGACCCTTCACTGAAGAGCCTGCCCCCCTTTTCTGGCTACCCTTCTCCTAGCTGTTGCTTGGTCATCCTTCCTAAACTAACCTGGCTTCCCCAGGAATAGAGTAAAGGAAGCTGAAGTTTGCTTCTGGGGAGGCCCATGCAACTCCAAAATCAGAGCCCTCGAGAGGAGGCCAGTGTGACTCATTCCTAGCCCAGGGGACAAGCCAGTTAGAGCAGAGGCTGCCTTGGGAAGGCCTGGGCTTTTGTTCCTTCAACGACCAAAATGAATCATCTACGCTACTAAGTCACCCCTGCCAGTCCCAAACTTTCCTGGGTAGAACCGATATATGTGCAAACATGAGATGGATCACTAGTGGGTGGGAAGGAGAGCAAGATGGGAGCTGGGACCTGAGGAGGGAGGTCCAGTGAGATGGCCAGCCAGAAGCGACCAGCCACCCATACCCCACATGAAGCGTGTGTCTTCTCAGTAGTCTGCTGCTTCAGGCAGCTGGTTCACAAGCATGGCTGGCATTGTCTGGGCACTGAGCACGCTGTCCCTTCCCCTGACCCTACCACAGAGCAGATGAGGGAATTAAGGTGTTTGTCAGGGCCCCCAAGCAGGACCAAGCTACCTTCATTCTGTCCTCAGAGACCTGCTCTTCACCAGCAGGATCAGAGGCTCATTTCGTGTCAGCACTAGGGTCAGGCTGAGGCAAAACAGCTGGGCCATTTCAAGGGGGTAAGCCAGCTACAAGAAGCAGCAGAAGCAGGGGCCCATCTTGGGGCCCAGCATTCCTGAAGCCAGATGTGCAAGCCTGACATCACCAGCATGACCCCAGTCAGGCTGCATTCACTGGCTCAGGCACTGCTGTCCCCTGTCCCCTGTCCCCGCTTCCTCAGCATGAAAGAGACTCAGGGGTGCTGGCAGCTGCTCACCAGCATCTGGCGGAACATTCTGCCCTAAAGCTGGGCTTTCCTCCCTCCCCAGGGATAGCTGGTGACTCATGTTTCCATTTTCAATGCAGAGCCAGGCACTGGATCTTTCCATGACCCCAAGGACTGCTGTGTAGTGTTGGGCCATGGATTGTGATGTCAGACATTATCTGAGTTCAAATCCCCTCCTTGATACTTGTTAAACATCTGTGTGGTTTTTTTTTTTATTGTTGTTGTTTTTGTTTTTGTTTTTCGAGACAGGGTTTCTCTGCGTAGCTTTGCGGCGCCTTTCCTGGAGCTCACTTGGTAGCCCAGGCTGGCCTCGAACTCACAGAGATCCGCCTGCCTCTGCCTCCCGAGTGCTGGGATTAAAGGCGTGTGCCGCCACCACCGCCCGGCACATCTGTGTGTTTTTAAGCAGCTGGTTTATCCTCTGTGACTCCCATTTGTAAATGAAGACCATAATTGTCGACTATGGTATCGTTTTGTTTTAGACAAGGTCTCCTCATGTAGCCAGGTCATGCTTCCAACTGTGTGTGTGTGTGTGTGTGTGTGTGTGTGTGTGTGTGTGTGTGTGTGTGTGCGCGCGCGCGCGCGCACGCATCTCGGCCTCCCAAGTGCTAAGTTTCTAGGCATGTGCTGCTACACCAAAGCTCAACTATGATACCTTTTATTGAAAAAGTCCCTTCTCTTCTACGCACAGCTCTGAAAGTGAGCTGTTCCCTTCAATGGTTTTCTCTTTTGTCTACTTAATTTTCATAATCCAAGCAAAGAGGAAGTTGAGAGTTTTTTGAGGTTTACCGTCCATGAGTTATATCGATCCCACTTACAACAGTGGTGGGAAGCACCTCCCAGATATCCACACTTCCGCCCCCACACTGTTCCCTCCCAGTGTTCAAGAAATCCCGCAAACTGTTCCTCACCCTGTCATAGCATCTGCTTGGTGCGGAGGGGCATTTTTTGCTGTTGTGATCATCCGAGCAGGTTTAGAGACTGGGCTGAGATGTGATGCTCTGTAGGTTAAGGGTATCAAGTGCATTTCGATTTAATGATATTTCCCATCACATCGTCAATTGAGGGACACCCATGTACTACTGTTTACTACTGCTACGGTGCTATTATTAAGTGCTGGCACAGTCTAAAGACAAAAACAAACAAACAAACCGAGGCCTAGGGAGGTAAAGTAACTTGTCCAAGGTCATACAGCCAGAAAGTGGCAGAGCTGAGATTCACACCTGGCTTGTCTGGCCTCACAGACCGGCACTTTGTCATGGTGCTTAGGAAAACAAGAGAGATGGAGGGGTGAAGCTGGGCCTGATGCTGGCCTGGAGTGGATACTGTGCTGGAGTTTGCTGCTGTCATTCCCACCGTCACCTCAGTTGCTTCCCATTACCAGGCCAGGTCTCCACTTTGCCCCTGAGGAAGAGCCAGAGAGGACAGTCGTCCTTCAGGCCAAAGTCAAGCGCCCCGAGCTGGGCAGAGTCAGGTGGTCTACCCAAATGCACTGCTAACCACATGCTGGTGAACGTTCTCTTCTGAGGCCTTGGGATACTGACTCCCCACCTCTGGGTCTCAATCACTGGTCTGCCAGGTGAGGGGTGCTCACCCTCAGCCCTAGGGCAGGAGCAGGTAGGGAGGGGCTGGATAAAGTCAGGGCCTGGGAAGCATCAGCGCCCTGACAGACTGCTCTTATCAAACGGCAAAGCGCATGCTCTGGGTCCCAGTCCCACAAGCCAATACCTGCTGTGGCAGAGGCACATGTGAGACCAAGCCAAGCCGGAAGGTTCCAGAAGAGCCACACAGGGTTATCAGGATCACAAACAAAATGCAGAAGAGCTAGCAATTTTGACAGGCACAGAGCACACTAAGACCGGCTGGCACAATAATCCTGGTAATTGGGAGGCTGAAGCAGGAGGATCACAGCAAGCTTGAGGTCATCCTGAGCTACAGAGTGAGAGATTCTGTCTCCAAAACAAAACAAAACAAAACAAAACAAAACAAAACAAAACAAAACAAAACAAAACAAACAGACAAGAAAGCAGAAGTCAGGACTAGAGCTAAAGGGGGCTGTGGCCACAACGGTGCCTCCACGTGCCACCCACGGCTGGTTTCCTGTCAACCTTCTCAGACCTTTTTATCTCACCTAACTCTGCTGTCTCATCCTGCTTCAAGCCTGTCCTCACCCTGCTCTGTGGCTGAGCCAGCCTCATCCATGCCCAGACTTCCTTGCTCTGGGGACCACTGTCCTCTCCCACCTGTTTCCCCAGAGACGCCAACCTTCCTGCCCCCAGGGAACTCAGGATCTTGCCTCCCAGAAGAGGTGAGAGGAGAACAGCACTCAGTTGCTTGCCAAGCTGCTCCAGCAGGAGTCTGGAGTACACACCTGTCCCCAGGGATACCCGTGAAATGTTTATGGAGCCCTTTGTCTCAAGGTTCTGCCGCTGGAGCCCAGAAAAAGGGCATGAGGAGTCTTCTGTGGCAACATTCACCTAGAGCAGCAGAGAATTTCTGAATTGAATCAGAGAATTTCCCT